GCATATTTCTTTGAAATAAAAGGATATTTTGCCAAAAAAACTATCCAGTAGTTTTTGTCATGCCCTAGCCTATCTACCATAAAAATATGAGCGAAATTGAATTTTCGACCCTTGCCGCGAAATTAAGAATTTGTGTGATTTTTACGGGCAGGCACTCTTAAGGAAGATGTCACCCGATTAAGGTATCTAGTCAGCTTGGCTTGTTAAGTAGGGTAAGAAACGGTCTCATGGTCCACGCAGCTGATAGGATCTTTACCGCTATGATACTTCCTAAGTTAGATTACTGTTGCGATTTTGTTTGGAACAACTGAGCATCTTCAAGGTATAATACATATAGAGCGGTTACAAGCGAGAGCTGCTAGAATTATTTTAAAGGAGAGTAGCCTTAGCCAAGAACATTTGTTACGACAATTAATTTTTTTGGAGAAGGAAATTACACACGCACATTGAATTAAACTGTATCGATTTCTGCGGCGACGTTATCCATTCCTTTAGTCAAATTTGAATAACCATGCATCAGTTTACAGCACCTACAGCTGGAGAGGTCATTCGAAACACAAACTGTCTCATTTCTTGCTGTCGCCAACAGTAAATCGGTGGATTGAGGAGAGAGTTCAACATTAAAAACGTAGTGATCCATAGTAGAGGATAAGCAAGGTCCAGTTCTGGAATATGCCACAAAATTGTTAAAGCGGCCACAGGCGAAAAGCATAACAAAACAGCGCCCACCACGTAAAAAATTGTCCTAAGCGTTTTTCTTTCTTTGACAAATCTTTCCACCTCTTCTTGGGGTAGTTGCTGAGTTTTGATTTTCTTTTGCTGATGAACTGTTTCGTGGTATAAAATCGCGTAAGATGTCGCCATGAAAACCATGTAGGAAAATATCACAATGGATGTTATAACGTTGCCAATTTTCAGTGGCAACCCTTGAAATAACTTACTGACAAATTTCCGTCTAAAAATTGCACAACATAAAGTAAGAAACCACAACGCTGTTACTGCCACCTTAATGTTCTGTGCTGTAACGAGATACGAATACACTAAGGTATATTTGATGGCTATTAGCCTCTCACAAGTGACTAACATCAAATGGAGCGCCGACGAAAGAGTAACTACCCCTATAGAAAACACGTGAAGATCACGGACAATGTCATTGTTTATTCCACCGAGTAGCTGGGATGTTCTCCAGATAATAAAGGTTGGCTGGACAAGAAGACCAGTTAATACATCCGTTACCGCCAGGCAAGCGAGCAAGATGTTGGTGTAACTCTGTAGTCTTGGTTTTTTTTTCACGGCCATGATCACCAACACGTTAAGAACGACAGTAAAGGGACATGTGATGCCGTTAAAGATGATGGTGATAATATAACTAACCTCGACTGCGACATCTTTAGCGTCGCAATTCATGGTGATATTTGTTGAGGGTCGAGAAACGTTTGTAAGATTTAACACGGACATGACGAGAAGAGGAAGATATATGAAGATATATGAAGATATATATGAAAAATGACAACCGTGTACAAACGATTTTGCAGATTTTATAAATGTGGTGCAGAATTTATATGTATGGTACACGAAGGAAGTGGCTTAGCAGCATTTCTGAAAAGTAATTTCGGCGCCTTTGGTCTTTTTTTTTTTGACAACTTCCGATAGTTTTTATGTGGTGTAGATTTATTTTGGTTTTAAGGAGAAGATTAGTAACATTTCATAAGTCCTCAACTTTTTATAAATCCTCAACTGTTCTGTGCCTTTCATTTTTGAAAAGCCGTCGACATCAATTTTGCCCAAGGGAAAATACTCAATTAAAAGGAGTATTTTCGTGTGCAACTTAAGTAGGATTATTTGCTCAGCAACACTAAAACCGTTACTGTAACCGATATTTTTTTCCGTCGTTTGGTTTGTGTGATATGCAAGTGCTTTCATCCTTTCTTTTTAATAGCCGTCGACATTTATGTGGAATTTTCGTGTGGAACTTAATTAAGTAGGTTTGTTTACTTCAATTTGAAATATAGTGATTTCAATCAGTAATAAAAGCAGCAAGAAAATTGTTAAAATATTTTTTTTTCGTTTGTTTTCTGTGAGAAGTTTGTTCCGTGCCTTTAATCCTTTCTTTAATTTTTAATATCCGTTGCAAATGACAGTTTGATCTTTATTTGACTTCTTCGTATTCTCTTCCACTCCTTGTGGAACACAGGTCCACGGAAAATTCCCGCCATCCCGTTCTGTTTTGCACTTATTCTTCAATCTTCCCCCAGGTCTAGCCTGATTTGCCTGCCTTATACCAAATTTTCGTTCTACAAGATCCATAATTGAAATTTCGCCCGTTTTACCAAGTTAGCCAAACGTAAAAAAATGATACTTTTGTTTACTTTCCCTGGAAAATTAATCTTAGTGACTTGAATAATAATTTTGAACTGTATTGCGTTACTGTATTGAAAATTAATGATACACTGTTGATCCCCTTTTCACGTAAAGACGGCACGGAACATTGAATTATCTTGTACCCATAAAATAAATGAAATGAACGATGGCAATCAAAATGAAACAACTTTCCAGAACTGGTTTCGTTCTTTAGATGCTATTGATAATATTTGTAATGTTAGCTAACGTTTTTTTCAGTCAAGTTAAGAACAAAGTGCACAGCAGCCAAAAGCTCTTTCAGCTTTTGTGAGCTTGTATTTAATTAATTTGTTTGAAATGCTTTCGGCTTATTCTACGTAACACTTAATTTGCTGGCGTACTTTCCCAGCAAGAAGTACTAATCTGAGAACTGTTTCCGCTTACCATATAGATTTAGCTAAGCCTAAAAGCGGAGCTCCTGACTGCAATAATTGACCATAAAGGAAAAAGAGGATTTGTTTTTCTTGGATCAGAAACTCAAAAAATGATCAGTTGTGAGCATGTAATTGTTCAGCGTCTGGTTTCACTATTTTCTCGAGTGAAATTTTAACAAACTCTACCCAATTAGAAATTACGCTCGCAATATATCGGGGACTTTCCAAGAGACGATTGTGCGAGGAAATGTGTCGGACGAAAAGTGAGCAACGCGCCAATCGAAACCCAGTACCTGGTCAGCGGTCAACTTAAAAAAAACGACCACGAAAACCTGAGCCTGCCACATGGTCACGTGGAACTGGTCAGCGAAAACCTTGTTTTCACAGGTGTTAATTAACCATAACATGGATGTCTTATGATAATGTGCCACGCAGTGTAAAGGGGCATTTTCACAGAGGAATCCGTTTTTGAGCAAATCATCGTATCACTTGGACACGAGAGTGATTACTGCAAACAGACGACCATTTCCGGTCCGAGGATCATTTACGGAACAATCTGGGGATCGTTTCCGGTCCTGGGGCCCGTTTTTCGAAAGCTCCAGAAACTTCGGGTCCATAAAGCCATTTTGGTTCATCAGCCTCTAAAAAAGGAGAAGTGTATTGGCCTGTAACTTCTCCTATGAAGAGAACCTCTGTTCATATTAAGAATATGCGAATAATCCAGCTCTGTGTTCATAAGGTTTGAGATGTCTTTCCGCGTGCGAGAACTTTACGGGACTTTCGAGAAACGGGCCCCTGGGTTCATTTGCGGGCTTTGCCCACTTTGACAAACATTTAAATAGCAATTTGACGTAATCTGTCGTCTATACAAACTTGGGCAAACTAATTGGTCGCTTTGCTGGTTCAGGGGAATTACGTCATTGTCAAACTTGAATCGAGCAGAACAAACTGCGAACTCTACAGATCTCCCACAAAATGGTGGAAAAGTTGACTCGGTTTTTGTCATCAGAGCACCCCTGCGTGCCGAAAAACCGGAAGTTGCCTTGCATATTGCAGGGGTTGAAGAAAAACACACGGAAAATTTGCGGTTGCGGTCGAAATCGACACGTTGGAGGCCATTCTATTCGAATTTAGAATGAAGTGAGAAGCGTTAGTAACGGTGGAAATTCGTGTCCTCTTTGGCTGGTGATTCTCAAGTGCGACAGACACACTTTCTAGCTGCGATACAGCCTGCCGTGAGCTGTAGTGAGCTATATTTTGCTCGCTGCTCTGTCCTGAAACGAACTGGAACATGCGCGTCGGAAAACGAGGTTATGTGATTATTTTAGGACGTGATGTTGTGATGTTTCTATCCTGACACCAATCTACATAAATAATTATTTTAAGACTGAGTAAAGTTGTATTTTTTAAATAAATTAATCTCATAAACATTTTGCATATTAGGTTTGTTAACTTCGAGACAAAGCAATGGTTTCTTACGTTGAAATAATTTTAACACCAATTTTGTGTTTTGTTTAGTCTCGCTCGACTGCCGACTAAGACTGCTCGAGTATTTTTTCCGAGTTATTTTCTTAAAAAAAGGCTTTTTCGGAGCCCGACTTTATTGAAAGCCACGTTCTACATCGCTTATCTGTACAGCGCCACATGTATCCGTCATTTACCCGTCTCTGTTAGTTCCATATCAGAACCACATCGAGAACACTGCTGACAGCTCGCTAACAGCTTCTGAGTCAATTTAAAACATATATATTCTGGAAACTTTCCAGTATAACAAAAAGATCACGGAACTCCATGTTTTATAACGTCGAAATTAGGATCAAGTGTAGATTTAATTAGGATCAATCATGGACTGCATATTATTCACTATTAGCTCTGGTATCTTACTTTTAAAAGATGGAGCCAAGGACAGAAATCAAAACGCCTAGTTTGTATGAAAATCCGTGCTTTGGGACTGATAATTGTAGAGCATGATGCAGTGCACGTGGATTTCATTTTCACATAGCTTTTCTCGTTGTAGAAAATACATTTTCCGCTGGTATTTTAACGTCACATTCCTCACTGGATTTTCTGTGTTAGGTGTCGGAGGATGCCTATTGCGAAGTCGTGATTGGTCGTTTCTTTCTATTTATACTTTACGGCAGTTTCGTTCAATCTCTCTCGCTTGCAACCTACACTTATTATCCTTCGAGTATAGCCCGAGTACACGAATAGAGCCCGCCAGCCCACCCTCTTTCAGATATGTTCCTTTAATCTGTTCCTCTTTATCCATTGCCTGATACTGCCTTTGTTTTCATCTATTTTCAGGCGGCAGAGAGGCCTACATGGATTGCACACGATGCTTCAGGTGCTTTAAGCTCGGCCACTGGGCAAGACGCTGTACCATCGCTTGGTCGAGCCTCAGAAATGTCTACCGTGTATATCCAAGCAGCCGATCTTGACCTATCTAGTCAGTTGCCCTTGTTCAGGCCATTTGCGAAGAAGAAATTAGGGTATACCCTTAGGAATGGCAAACTATCTTACACCCGTCGTAGGGAGATATTCAAGGACGTTTTAAAGGATGTGGGCTATGATCCCAAAGGTTACGGCCTCCATAGCTTACGTTCTGGTGGGGTAACCTCTGTTGTTAGAAACGACCTCTCGCATAACGTTGCTGAGAGATTGTTAAAGCTTCACGGACGCTGGAAAAGTGACGAGGCTAAGGACATGTACGTAGTAGATAGAACCACATTGTAGCCGATTAAGAGTAACAAAATATCTACGAATTTAGCTCGTGGTCCATTATATTATTCTCTTGAACTGTATCTTAAAAAATGGTAATAACAGTGTTAGGGTCCGCATGCGATCCATCATGCTTCGTTGTACCTGTTTTGCGGAAATTTAAGTGGTAAATAATTTACGTTCGTTTGAACGTTGTGGATTAGAATGTAATACTAACCTGAGACAGCTAATTAAATATACATAAATTGGTGTCAAAGGGCCATTTTTGCAGGGGGTCTCCATAACTTTAAGGGAATAAAATATGTTGACCAACTGTTTCTTGTTCTTGATTTATTTTTGCCATTTACAAATATATATAATCCTGCCCATGATAATCATTCACTCACCAAACCCAACATTTGTGCCAAGTAAACTGCAAAATCGATAAAAGCTGTATCACCTCCTGCCTGGTTTTCTCACGGATACACTCTTTAATCAAGATTGTCGTTCGGAAGTGTTCCGTAACAATGCGGTGTAATACGCTTTTGAAAATCCCTGTTGCACTTAAACGATTACTGGGCAATCAAAAGTAAGGCAGCTGGACTTAAATTATACAGAACTGGAAGCAAGGGGACTATTTTTTTAATCGATGTAAAATATGACGCTCTTTTTGCCTGAGTCAAATTAAACGGTTCTCTATCACTTCAAGTGATCTCCACAGATTTAGAAGTAGTCAGCTAAAAATTTAAAGTAGCCAGCGCTGGCAAATCGACAAAAATTTCCCAGAAAATGTTCAAAACTTATGTGGCTAGGGATGCGATCTGAGGCATTTTGGGGGCAACTGACACAAGAAAGGATGTATTATTTTATTGTCAGTTTTTGTCCCGTTTTTATGCAAATTTGACAGTATTTCCAAATACGGGTACAGTAATTACTAAATTTGTCGTGCAATAATTGTACAATAATTATTACTTGTAACATACAACATATTTGTTTTTAAATTCTTTCAATGACTTTAACAACAAGCGACTTTAACTTTTCTTAAGAATATTTAAGAATTTTTTTAAAAAACGCTTCAAAG